GATACAGTAACCGAACAGCATCGATCCAGTGATCGACCCTTGATGTACTCCGCTATCAGCCAGAAGCTGTCTGAGACCACTAAATGAATCTGAACTACCGCCGCTGTTTGGTAGAGGTTTTTACAAGATGAAAACTTTTTCTAACCTATTGCCAGCTGATATTCGCGGTCTCACGAATCATCGAAATTTGCCTAAAACTCGACGAACCCGATGAACAATACTTTCTGGTATCGACTGCTGTATTTTCAGCAAAAAACGAAACGTTAGGATGACATTAACGGTCCATTTACCCGGTAGGAAGCCACAACGTTCTTCTCGCGGTAAGAGCGAATTCTGCCGTAGATAATTCTTTTACTGATCTATAACGCCACGCAGAGGAAACTAATTCTACTGTAACTTTTGGCATCAGAAACAGCACCTTTTTGTGTATCGGAATAAAAATTCGTTAGAACCACTTTTCCAGTATTGTCTCTGATCGCCAAACCTCCTGAATCATGTTCGAAAGCAATATGTCTTTAGGCCATCTATGTTGGATGGGTCCAGCCGCTTTGCCAGCTCGCCTTTTTTGAAGGCATTCATGATCTTTTTGAGGGATGGTACATCGACACCGCAGTCATAATCAGACTCCTACTTCGTTCAAACGAAATCAATGGAGCAAATGGCGGGGAACGGTTCATTCGCTGCAACAAATGTTCCCGAAATCGCTAGTACATTTAGGTGCATGTGCGATTCATCTTTCAAACTAACGAAAGACAAGCTCGTGTTATTTCTACCCCCGTATTGCCGGATTAAAGCAAATGTTCTTCCAAGGTTGCTGTATTTGAACGCTTTCTCCATAACAGCGGCTTGTAGCCTTCCTATCTTCAGTTAGACAGCATTTCGGTTCGGTTTCCTGCGAGTCTGGCTCTTTTCCATTCATTTCTCACCTAATCGACTCTTCTTCCCACAGACTGACAAGAGAGGACATGTTCTCTCTGGAGTACTGGAATACTGTCACTGACGGCAATGTGTACGCTGTCAGTGATATTCCTATAGGTCGGAAGCAAATGCTTTGCCAGTGCTGGGCTGAACGTCATTGAAAGTTTTCTCCTGACATCTGAAAATTCCTGTAACAGTGCCATATTATACCTCGGAATCGTCTCCAACCTTTTAACAGTAACATATGGCACGATCACCGCAATACGATTGCACAAACAGGTTCATCCCTACGTACCTTTAGACCATCTCACGATATGCTTCCAAAGTTTGATTATGAGTATATTTCAAGCTACAGTTGTAACCTCTTCAACCTTTCCGCCCACACTCTTCCCGCTGCTCGATAGACAAATGCAGCGGGCCTTGCCATGCTAGTCCTTGTGAGGGTAGATTTTGCTGCAGGGTCGTCACAACCGTCAGGCTGAATCTTTCGGAGAGGTTGAGGAGCATCGATCCATTTTTTGTGGTCAATTCTGCCTGCATGAACCATTTTCCCAGCGCAAAACTCGTTTCACCGCTGCAAATTGTGCATTGACATCCATTCCAAGCATTATAAGGTCGTTCGAAGGTATGGCACCAAGAAAGTCAAATTCAATCCTGTTGAAAAATGCGTTTTTTTTTCTTATTCACTTGTAGAGTTCGTTGATGCGTAGGATATAATCCAGGTTGTTCTAAGGGATTTCGAGACCTTAATCCAGCACAGTCTGGAACTAATTGATCCATATTCATTACAGCCCTTTTACAGTCTGAATACACTACGATTCCGCAGCCACATTGAATAAATAATCTGTTTGACCATCTAGAGAACAAATATTTGTAATTTCATTTGTCCTTAACTGCTTCTCATGGAGGCATACAATTAATGAATTAAGACTGTTCAAAGCTCCCGTAACGACAGCTTGCCTGTCTTCACCTGTCAAGGACTGACAATCCTAACAGGTTAAAGCGACAAAATTTAGCTTCTTCCGTGGTCCTAGCAAATTCTGCGGAGGCCCTGAAAGAGCCCTTGAATTTGGACAGGTAGACAGCTTATAGTGATAATGAGTGGCCGTCTGGAAATGTCTAGCCAACTACCCTGCATATTTGCTTATATTTAATTTACAGCATCACTCTTGGGCATTTAGTACGACAGTGCCAATCCAGAGGCTACCACGTGGCGGTGACTGGAGTCAAGTACCCAACCTCCCTCAACAATGGGAGCTACCAGTTGGAAATTGGAATATCTCGCCCTAAGAGGGAAAGAGCAGATGTAACATGAGACCACAAGGTACCAACTGGACATACACTATCGTCAAAGAAGCTCCAGGACTCTGAAATTCGGAAACTCTGCGGGTAGAAACTTTTCAAATTCGAAAGTCGACTCTACGATCCGCGCTAATGCCGGAGTTGGTGTTCCGATAAAACACAATTCTATGGCTGGAAGATTTAC